TTGTCATCCATCAAAACATAACACTGTGGTTGAATGTGATAGAAAAAAATCCCTTCCTTTCACACTTTGGTGGTGCTTTGCCCTATCGCCCTAATGAAGAAACTGCCCCTGCTGCTGTCAGAGTCCTTACTGTTAATCCAAGAAAATAATAGAGAGAAAATCACTAACTGCTCTTGACTGAATTACTTTGTAGTTTTAACAAGACTTAAGGCCCGTTCACACGAAGGACGATAACTATAAAGATAACGATAAAGATATAGTTATAAAAATCGTTCTCAATATTAAAGAATAGCAGAGTCCACACCACAACTATAACGATAAAGACAAAGAGAAACGATATCGTTGGAATCACTTTCAAAACGATTTTTCTCCAGCTGATGAACGATAAAAAAATTGACAGCCAATCAGAATCCATCCTGCTGTAATGAGCTCGAGAATTTAAAGCGGCAGACGCGCGTGCGCTTAGAATAAACAGACGATGTCGTTCGCTGGTGTGGACGCTAATATCGTTATCTTTATAGTTATCGTTCTTGGTGTGAACGGGGCTTTAATCTTTATTTAATTTATACAGTGAGGACTATACAATGCTATTTTACATTTGATTATTCGGTTTCTGTACCTGAGCACCAACAAACTTGAAAAACTTAAACATTGTTTGATTTATGTTTGTTCTATTTATTTTTTGTGCTATTTACATTATTTCAAACAGGGCCCACGGGTACAACCTGCACCGGGGACCCACAAACCCCAGCTATGGCTTTGCCCTTTTTCAGGCTCTTTAATGTGTCGTGACAGATCGCTGTAGCGCCTCAGTTCAAGCAGCATGTGAACCGATCATATCTTCCACTTTACAAAATAAACATGAATGAACATCAGAAGGTATCTTGTTTTAACCGCAGAAAGACGTCAATACACACCATTTTACGAACAGTTAATTTTTCTGAACTACATTATACATGGAGCTGCGGCAATACTGATGTAATGAGGTCAAAGGCATACATTTGTTGAGTAATTTACAACAACTTCGAACACAGCTCAACCAATCAGAATCAAAGAGGGGTTTAGAACAACCATAACTTGGAGTAAGTGCAGTGTGAAAAGCCTTAGGAAATGGTTCTTTTAGTAACTGATCACTAAGACGTTATTTGGGGAACCTAAAATGGTTCTTCTGTTGAATCACTGTGAAAACCCCCATTTGGAAGCTTTGGACGAGGGTATTTAAATATAAATGTGAACTATGAGAGAGCAGCCTCTGAGCAATACATTTTTCCTCTGGCCCACTTTAGCACAGGTGATTTCTGGGAAAGTTCCTCAGACTGTACAGATGTGAGTTGCTCCCACTCGTACAGTATTATGGCAATCAGACGAAATATTTTATTTTTTATAAAGTATTCTCAGTACATGTGTACAACCTAATACATCTCCAACATTGATATTGTTTTGATTATACACATAATATTCCATTGTATCTTGTGTGGCAATCAAAACCAAGCTCAAACTAAAAACCACCACACTGACACATAGAAGACCCTAGAAGACCACAGTTGTTCATTCAGGTCTGAGATGAGGAAAACCACATTAAAGTGCATAAAGGCCTATTGGTCTCACATTTTTTTCCTTTAAAATGATTCCCATTTTAACTCCCTCAGCCAGCTGCTGCCATCTCATTCTCAAACTAATAATAACCCCACTATTAATAAGTGGATTTTTTTTTCATTGTGTAAACATAGGGCATACTGGCCTCACAAGATCTTCAAGTGGTTTGGTTCAAGTTCTTTTTTAAGTTAATGCAGTAAAGTCAGCAGAGAGGTAAACAAAGAACTGTCAATAACTGTAGGGTGTTTATGTGAGGGGAAGGTGTTGCTAATGAAGGTTTTGTTATATGTCAGCAGAAAAAGGTCATTTCTGATTGCATTGCAGATTGCAAAGAGTATGTGCTTTTTGTAATCTGTAGCGCTTCATCAGACATCTCACCACACCAACACACATTTGATCTGACAACGGCTAGTATCCATATGTGATTGGAGGGGGGCATGGCTAACCACATCCTGTGTGACTGCATCTGTCTGAACTATGCACAACATCTGCACAAGAATGAACTGACTGTGCTATTTTTCATAACCCATTTATCATGCAAAAATTGTCCAGCAACTGAAATTCACTTACATAATTGTATGCCTAAACTTGAGAATTGGCCAAATTCGGCCTACTGAAAAATACTGAAATGAGTAAAGTTACGTATTTATTTACTCCACAGTATGTTGAATAAAAAATATATTTATATTTTCAGTGTGGGGGAAAAAAAACAATATTTATGAAAAATGTCTTCTTTATTCCAATGTTATTTTGGACCCCATTGACTTTAATTGTATGGGCATAAACAGCCAAAATATCTGCTGCTGTGTTCCACACAATGACGGGTTTGGAGCAACATGGGGGTGAGTAAATGATGACACAATACTTTTTTTTGTGAACTATGCCTTTAATACCCTTCCATTAGCTTTTTGATTGTTTTTCTTGATTTATCACATTGGTCTCTGGAATACTGGATTTAGATTTTATTGAAAAATCAAAGAGTTTTGTGCAAATTACACTGGATATTTCAATGTTGGCCATTGCAACATACCAACACTATTTTGTTGATGTCTCTTGCATCACTTGATGTTCTCACTCTGTTATTTTCACACAAATTGGTGCCATCTTATACATCTCAAAAGCTTAACTACAGATAGATAAAAAACCTCGGAGGGCTTCTATACTCATTTTATCATAAACATAAAACCTTGGATGGCTCAAAAAGAACAAGAAATGGTGAGAGACACAAATGCACACAAACCCATTTTGAATACTGTCATTGCTAAGTCGTTTGTTTTCTTTGTTGAAATGGGCTATTTTTCTTACTGAAATCTGTAAGATAACCTAAAGCGTCTTTATGCTTTCTCTGACATTTACATACGACTGTCGCATTTCGCCCCCCCACCCCCATTGCATGAGTCGTCGAACAAAACGTTCAAATCGGTAATGAAACAGCCGTTGCCCTCCACTTAATCATAACGAATGAATAATGAATATGCATATATCCAAACAAAACAATTGACCGCCAGTATGTCTGAAGGAAAAAACAGTAGGTTTTCTATGGCTAATCCATGTAAATAATCATTTAACAATTATAAAATAATTATTCTGGACATAATAATTCATAACTGCCAGTTTTACAGAAGTAGCGTTTAAAGGTTAATGATTTAGTGGATAAATATTGATAATTTTATTTATTTTTTTATTTTATTTTTATTTTTTTATTTTTTTGAGAATACAGTTCATAACTGGTCTGGTGATCACAAATATTTCAACATTTCCAAAAGTTCAAACTGGTTCCAAAAATTCTGCGTAATGTACACATATGATCAGAACTCCACTTAGCTCCCATGCTGTTATTGGAAATTTTGGTCTGTCGATTGGTGGACATAGTGAAGGTGACATTATGACAATAAAATAATTGAAACTCAGATCAGTATTACATGTCCACATAGGCTTCTCTCTAATACTTTAAATTCAATAGGCCATTTTTGCTGTTGTTAAAAATATGCAAGCATTTTTGACATTAACATCTTCTAATCTCAATTATAGTTGTAACAAACTTTTCTAATCCTGTAATATTGTCTCATAATTTAAGAAAAAATAAATCTGCAACAATATTGCAAACCTTTGTCCATAATGCAATTCAATATCATGTATTTTCTGACTACATTTAAAAAGATTTCACAACATCTATATATACACACACATACATACATAAAGTGGCTATAGAAAAGAATCACCCCCTTTAAAATAATCATATTTTTTTGCAGCCTGAAATGAAGATGGACACAGTTTTTGTTGTATCCAGCTGTATTTACTCAGTGCAACTTATATTATCCAAGTGAAAGATATAACACCGGGGGGGGGAAAAAAACAGAATCACTGAGTTGGAAAAAGGTAAGGCAAGGCAAGTTTATTTATGTAGCACATTTCATACACAATGGTAATTCAAAGTGCTTTACATAAAAGAAATGGAAAAAATAATAATAAAAAATAATCACAATAAAACAAGGAATTTAAAACTTTGAAAATGATTTAAAAAATGATTTAAGATGAATTTAAAACAGTTAAGAATAGAAAATGATTATACATAAATTATAGTGCAATCAGTTCGGACATCGCACAGTGCTCATTCGGTAAATGCACAGCTAAACAGATGAGTTTTGAGTCTGCATTTAAATGTGACTAATGTTTTAGCACATCTGATCTCTTCTGGAAGCTGATTCCAACTGCGGGCGGCATAATAACTAAAAGCGGACTGCCCTTGTTTCGTGTGAACCCTTGGTATTTCTAACTGACTCGATCCTAATGATCTGAGTGGTCTGTTAGGTTTATAATCAGTGAACATATCTGCTATGTATTTAGGTCCTAGGCCATTGAGTGATTTATAAACGAGTGATTTATACACATAGGTATTCGGTTGTATATTTCTGAAGCTGTAGCTGTGTAATTAGCCTAATAATGTATAACCAGACTGTCATTTTCAAAAATGAACCCCTTTAGGGTAAAAATGTCCTGATCGACCTTTATTTTGTGCGAGTGACTTTCTGGTGATCCCCTACTTGACATTTTTCTAACATAGTAAAGAATTGACAAAAACGATCAAAACAGCCTTATTCATCGATTTGACATTAGGGTTATAAGGTCACGTTAGTCTCATCATTCTACCATCTAAATAAAACAACAAAATTAACCAATAAATATCGCCATCAACACATCACACACTGCCAAACTGCAATCTTCTTGCACTAAGAAAGCTCTCTCACATGACAGCCGTGGTTACCAAGACAGGAAGTCAGCATTTTCATGTGGGAGAAGATATGAAATTATAAAAAAAATGGAGGAGTGTACAACAGCGTCACACTGCTGAAGGAAACAAAAGGAGGAGAACTCAAGAGTGAAAGACAATGAGTGAAGTTTGATAGAGAGATAAGCAGATGTGAAAAACATTTGAAACTCCACAAATCAGCATGCGTTATACTTTATCCTCAAGACTTGGATAAAGTCAGTCTAAATCTAAATTGATAGTACGGAAAAAGAATACATGACATTTCAGAATCGCTTTTGAAAATGGTGCTTTGAAAATACGTTTTCTTCAAGTGCATAGAAGGGCGAATAACCTGTGAGTATAGAGATAAACAACATTTAAAGGTCAGAGAAGTGAAGTCTGACCGAAGATTTGTAACGATGGCGAATAGTTGGACTTTGACGGTGATTGTCCTCCTAAGTATCTTTATGGCAAGAAGTCAGACAAGAGGTGAGTTTACATACTTTTTAATATTGTATTCTCATTAGTACTCTTTAGTACTCTAAGATAGTCTTTAGTACTACTCTTTGTACGTGGATGATTTGGCCTTCTGATTTAACATCATCTTTGTCTGGAATCGATGCTTTTTGTCTATTGTCTATTTCTAATGGAATTTCGTAGTGTCCTAAAATGCCTAAAAAGTACATTTTTGGGCTATTAGCTTTATGGTTAAAATCTTGGCATTGTTTAAATCAGTCAGTTAAAGTATATTGAAAGTGTCAAGTAAATCTTTATGGCCTAGTAACTGTCGCTCATGTGGGGAAAATCTATTTTTATACTTTTCCACTTAGACTGCAAGGGTATTTATGGTGGATGAGAAATCTGTTCTCTCACGTGCATGTGATGGTTTTGTGTTTGTTTCTATCTGTGTTTGTTGCTATTTCGAGAGGACATGCCATGACGAAGCGCTCTTCCTCTCTGGGGGGATTCTTAGGGGGAGATGAGTTGCTGAGGTTTTTGAGGCTGACAGATGCTTCTGAAAAGAAACTGTAAATCTAGAACAAGACCTTAGAGCAGTTGGCATGGAACTAAATGACATTTGTGTTGTAAATGTTGACAATAATGCTGTTTAATGTGGTATGGAAGCCGTTGCTTTAGGCCAGGTGTTCAAACTCCATTTTCTTCAGAATCAGGGTGCATTCATCTTGTGCTACAATAATGAAAATAAATCTTTGTCTAATCTTTGGGCAAAACTGTACACCTTTGACTAACATTAACGAGACATTTTGACCAGTAAATGTAATAGAAGCTACTACTAAAACTTTAATATCTCACACTTTTGTGTAATGGAAATGAACTGGAAATCTCACTTGAGTGAATGATTGTGTTTCATTGTGCTGAGGCTCACATTAACCTGTTACTAACACGCTGTGCCACTAACTGTCCTAGGAGATCAAGCCACTGCATCTCATCAGAATAAAGATTCTGCGATTAAACAACTGACAGGTCAGACAACATACACTTTATTTGTTTATGTAAATCCACTGCCATTTTTCATGAATAGAGTACAAAATAAGAACAAAAACTATTATAAAATCAATTTTTAACCAATAGTCACTGAAAGCAAGCACTTGATCTTGTGCAATCATTATTTCCCATACTGTTTAGAGTTTTATTTAATCAGCGTTTTACATATATTAGATGTTGTAAACTATCTGCTTTATATATATATATATATATATATATACATAATAATATATATTCAATATATATGCATATATAAGGAATTTGTGCTTCTAATGCTTTTAAAAAAATAACAGTAACACTTTATAATAATGTTATATGTGCTGACATTACTTAACTATATTAGTTAGTATGAACTAACAATGAAAAATACTTGTAAAGCATTTATTAATCTCAGTTCATATTAATTTCAACATTTAGGCTACTAATATTGTACATTAATGAAATCCAAAATTGTATCTGCTAATATTAATTAATGGACCTGAGCTAACATGAACTAACAATAAACAGTTTTACTTTTATTAATTTACCATTAACAAAGATGAATAAATACTGTAACAAATGCATTGCTCATTGTTGGTTAATGTTAGTTAATGCATTAATTAACATTAATTAATGAAACTTATTGTAAAGTCTTACCAGAATAACATTTACATTTTTGAGTCAACTGTATTGATGAAAAGTACCAACTGTGTTACATCTATTGTCAGAATAGAACTGCTGTGTGTTGAAACTATTTTAGGGTTAAAGAAGGAAATGACACACCAAAGGATAAAACTAGTCTGGCATGGCAGGGAGAGATAATTATAGTGTTTAAACTACAAAATATCTCACACCCATTATTATAACAGACACATTTTATTTTATTTGAATTATATTTTAATAATTTACCTCAGAGTGTCAAACGCAAAAAAAAAAGAAAGAAAAAAAAAACACTAATCCAATATTTAATCTAATTGTATACATTTATTGATTGATTTATTCCTGCAGATTTCAAAGAGCAGACATTTATTCCAGGCAATGATGTGATTTTACAGTGTGGAAATGTCACTGATATCAACTGGAATGAATTAATTTATATCGTCTGGAACATCAGCCTGCAAGACAGAAAATGTTGGCTTGGTTTGTCTCCCAAGCTGGACGACAAATGTAAAGATGGAAAGAGGCTGTACAACACCTCAGATGGAGTTTACTTAGTCATTCCCAAGATTTCAACAGAAGATGAAGGATTTTATTCTTGTGATGTATCGTATAAAGCAGGAAGCTATGCTGTAAATGTGTCTGTAAACGGTGAGTACAAACACAATTTATTGTAAAACTATTGCAAAAACTGTGAAAATGGTTGTAGTTTAAATCACGAGTTAGGTATAATTACACAATCTGATGTTACTTTCATTCAGTTATAGACTAGTTATGTCTCTCAGTGTTATGTCTCTTCAGTTCGTTGCAGACACACACACACACACACACACACATGTTGTGTTTCCATGCTTTATGGGGACATTCATAGGCGTAATGGTTTTTATACTGTGCAAACTGTATTTTCTTTCGCCCTACACCTAAACCTACCCCTCACAGGAAACTTTGTGCAGTTTTAGATTTTCAAAAAACTTCATTCTGAATAATTCATAAGCTTGTTTCCACATGGGGACCTAAAAAAATGTCCCCACAAGGTCAAAATTTACTGGTATTACTATCCTTGTGAGGACATTTGGTCCCCATAACGTGATAAATACCAGGTACACACACACACACACACAAATAGTATTTAGAACTAACAATGAAACCATATCATACTCTATTATAATGATATCATACTGATAAAGTTTTTTGTTTTTAGTTATCAACGTTTCCACCCAGCTGTACAGAGAAAAGATTGCTGTCTGTCGGGCCACATACACACAAAAGACAGCACCCACTCTTCATTGGGAACCTGCCTTGAACTTTTCCACCAGTATCAGCTCTGTTGAGAAGCTTGGCAGGTTTTTTATGATGGAGAATCGAATATATCTGCCGGACAATGTCAACATCAGTGAGCTCACCTGTGTGGCCACATACACCTCCAAGTCCGGCTCTGTTCAGCACAAGAGCACACTTCATCTTAAACAAAGTGAGTACACTGTATATGAAAAGAAATTGAGAATTGATTTCGTAAGTACATCATAAGTATTCTGTTTGGCTGTTTATTTAGGTACAGGCACTTTTATGTCCTATATATAAAAAAAAAAAAAAGAATTCCTATGAGACTCTCCTTTTTATTATTTTTATTTTTTAAACCATTATTTACTTTTGTTGTTTTTCTAATACATTATAGATTTGATGGTTTTCCACCTGGGTCTTATACTATGGATATACATCATAAAAATATTAATTATTGCATTTGATTGCAATTATTGCAACTGATGATCTAAAATAAAGAGAGAGATAAAGATAAACCTCTTCCATATTTATTATTTACAAATTATTTATACAATTTTCACTTTCAGGCGTCACTTTCACTATGACCAACAATTCCCCCTTAAAAAGTTTTATCAAAAGTCAATGTATTTATTTAAGGAGACAACTGTCAGTGAAGGGTTTGAGATGACATATGAGACGATGCAATGTGTAAAGAAAACAAATCAATGTAAATACAATATAAAATAAAAATCAAGGTATTGTACACAATACATTTGAGAAGTGATGGAAATTATCCTGATCATCGGGGGGAAAAGGACAGAATTATATGCATGTATAGACACTGTTGACATTATAATAGACAAATAAACTAGTCAGAGTGTGAAAAGTGTTTTAAAAGAGTTCATTTCCAAATGTCCACAAGGTTAAAATTGGCAGTATTTTAAGAAACACACTTTGATGAAATATGGAGCAAACGTTAACTAAAAATGGTGTTTAACGAACAGCACAAAATGTAGATAGTATCTCACGTACAGTCACACATTTAGTACAGTTGTTTGTATTAAAAGGGGATTGGTTTTGACAATATTACAGACTTTCTTCATATTCTTTTTAACTAATATATTTTATTGCATTGTTAAATTTATTATATTACATAGTAAACAAATCCTCTCTCTTTTCAGATTCATCAACTGGAACACAAGAAACTTCCTCTTTTCCATCGAAAATTATTGCCATATCAGTTGGTTCTGTTTGTTTTATTCTTGTATCTCTGGCCGTGGTTTACATACTCTGCAGAAAGCTTAAAGACTTAAGGTGGGATGTTTTACTGCCTTGATTCACCACTGTCGAACTGAATTACTTTGCATACTATATGATGACTAATTAATTGACAAATATATTTTCAATATCTGTTTGTCTTTGCATTGTCTTTGTAGTGCACTGAAGATGCTTTGCTGCAAATCCAAAATCTCAACACCAGCTGAAGACAAACCACCCCAGGTAAGATGTCTCTATCAAACCCTGTTTTTTATATTACACCAAACTCCATTATTCACTATATAGGGTGTCATTTTCAATGATAAGGTGTGTATCCATTATAAAAGTGTTCTGTGTGGCTCACTGAAGCATACGTCTGTGTGTATGAAGCCTGCTGATGTTGAAGAGGTGGAACCCTATGCAAGTTACATACAGAGAGTCAACTCCATCTACAACTCCTCAGCTGAACTCTTCAACGCCTGAGAGACACTCGCTTTTCATGATGAAACAGGATACCAGAAGAGAGCTGAGGGCAAAGATATGTCTGTGGTCAAAATTACACATGAAAAACAATACTAGTGGAAAAATAGTCATCTCAAGAGAGCATCCCCGAAGCAAACAGCGCCTGAATGAGGAGCAAAAGTCACACTGACTCAAAAGATGAAAGGTGATGACAAAGGAACATTTCTCTTATATGTGATGAGGAATAACTGGGACAACTTCAGCGTCAGCGATATCACTAATATGTAGATTTGTAGAAAACGAGCCTGGTTAGATATTAATCATCTGAACTAATCAAATTTGTACATAATTATTTATATCAGTGTTAAAAGAAACAAAAATCAGCCGCAAACAATGTTTTCCTTGATAAATACTAACCAGGCCAAATGTAGAGAACCTATTTTACATTGCACATAATTAGAAGTATGTAAATAAACTTCTACTTCTAGAAATATTATTCTACTTTTCAGTATTGTATGTCTTTATAGTTTGGTCTTTGAGTTTTAATAGCTACATAAACTCCTTTTAACCCTCTGGTATTGTTCATTTAGGATGAAATCCCCTCAAAACACCAAATATTAAAGAAAAACATTATTGAAATTAAATATAGTACATTCATTTCACAAATGATTTCATAAATTACTATATGATTATGGTCTCCAGTCAGTTTTGAGTGCCAATAACACAAGTGAGGTTTTTTATTTCAGTCCAAAATGACCCCTTTTTACAATATGTAATATACGTCTCAGGTGTCCCCAGAATGTGTCTGTGAAGTTTCAGCTCAAAATACCCTACATATCATTTATTATATCATTTTGAAAATGCTTATTTTGAGTGGAAGCAGAAACGCGCTGTTTTTTCGGGCCTGTCTCTTTAAATGGAAATGAGCTGCTGCTCCCCGCCACCTTTTCCAGAATAGAGCTGCGCCATTATATCTCGTACCTGCTGAAAAACATCTGTTTTGGTTCTGATTATCATGTTTATCGAGCTGAAATCATGCGTTTTAAACCATATGAATTTAAACTTCTGATATATGGTTTTTGCACACAACACATAATCCGAAGCATACGGACAGAAAGCGGCTGTCACAGCATGTAACGAGCTGAAATCATGCGTTTTAAACCATATGAATTTAAACTTCTACGGTTTTCTGAGTGCACACATCCGAAGCACACGGACAGAAAGCGGCTGTCACAGCATGCGAATACTAAACTAAGTTCTCATTCACACACAAATTTACGTTAAAAACAGAGTTACTATAACAGTCAGTTATGTCTGTGAAGGTAAACAGCTGGGGGAACAATTGCATGTTTATTTTAGATCTGTGTGGCAGCAGCAATATACAGTAAATAAATCAATAAATCCACTGCTCTGTCTCTTGTCTGCTCTGAGGCTGGGACTCTAAATAGTGTTCTGTGCTCGTCTGCGTAGTCAAAGACAGAACAGTTAGCATGTTTTGCATAAACTTTCGCCATGGCATTAGAACTGGTACACCGTTGCGAAATAAAACCTTGCGAAATCAAAATGACAGCGCCGTGGGTGGGAACTTACAGATTAAGGGGCGGTTATATTATAATGAGATCCCTTTGCCACGTCACCAAGGGAGCAAAATCAGACGCGCTCGTTTTCTCAGACACTTGCAGAAAAAGGCTTCCCAAAACAAAGTTACTGGTTTAATCTTTTTCACGTTTCCTTGGTTGGTAGATGCACCGGAGACCTGATTATAGCACTTAAAACCTGGAAAACTCAGATTTTCATGATATGTCACCTTTAACAGTAGCAGAGGGTTAAATCAACTTCTCTCAGCCTTCTCATATATTAGTAGTGTTTGATACCAGCAGTGTTGATTGTATCTCTACAAACAGGCCCTTCTCAAATGGTCATTGTTAAAGGGGTCATATGATGTTGCTAAAAAGAACATTATTTTGTGTATTTGGTGTAATGCAATGTGTTTATGCGGTTTAAGGTTCAAAAAACACATTATTTCCCACATAC